TGAGCGTAACTACAGTCAGTTCAAGAAAGAGGTGTTAGCTGTTCTACGGTGTCTAGATACGTTCAGACACTATATCTATGGGCGACGGTTTATCTTCAGAGTAGACCCTACCGCAGTTGCCTCAGTCCTCCAGAAGGACTTTAGTCCGACAGACCCGGCCATCGCCCGATGGCTGATACGGATTCGTCTATACGATTACACAGTGGAAAGGATATCTGGCACTAAAAATGCAGTGGCAGATGGACTTTCGCGGATTCCTCTTGAGGCTGAGCGACCGATAGTAGCTGGGGCCCTGACGCTGGCGGAGCCAAGACRAGCTGAGAGATTTCTGGTTAACCTTTACGAGGGCAAGTACCGAGCGATCGGGCTACACCTGATGGGTGAGGAGAGTACAGATTCAGATATTCGGAAGCAGGCCGTCAAGTATTGCCTTAGAGCTGGCCACCTTTTCCGAAGACCGGTAGGATCAGGGATGCCCTTACGAGTAGTATGTGACCCTGAGGAGAGGCAGACAATAATTGCGGAGCTTCACGACGGGGTAGTCGGAGGACACAGGGGAATTAAAGGAACCTACGAAAAGGTACGCAGGTTGTACTGGTGGGAAGGACAGTATAAGGACGTCGAGAGGTACTGTATGACCTGCGAAGAATGCCAGAAGAGGGCTCATGTGAGGTATAAAGAGCCACTTCATCCATCCTATCCGACCAGGCCAGGAGAGAAAGTACACATCGATCTAGTGAAAATGCCGAAAGGAGTAGGAAATATGAACCACGTCGTGAATATACGAGACGATTTCACTGGGTTCGTCGACGGAAAACCCATCAGGAGTAAGGCGGCAAAGGAAGTAAAGAACTTCGTCCTAGAGTACATATCTAGGTATGGCTGTGTCGGCAAGATAGTGATGGATAGCGGATCGGAGTTCTTGGCTGACGAGGTTCAGGATGTGTTTAAGAGAGCTGGGGCGAGATTTTCGATAGCCACCGCCTATCACCCACAGACGAACTCCCCAGTAGAGAGAGGACATCAGACTCTGATAGCGTCGCTGTCCAAGTGGTGCAAGGGTAAGGACAGTGATTGGCCACGATATTTTCGATATGCAATATGGGCGGACAACGTCACGGTCCGGGCTAGTACCGGATACCCACCCTACACTTCGTGGTTTGGGCGACATTGCCCGCTTCCCATAGAGTTTCACGTCGATAGCTGGACAACCGTCGACTGGGCGGAGGAGATGTCCAGGGAGGAACTTACAGCTGCTCGGACAAGACAGATAGCCTATGGCTTGGAAGATAACCTCATGACAGCGGCAGATCACCTGGCAGTGGAAAGAGTTAAAGGTAAAGAGAGATGGGATAAGAATGTGAGAATCAGGAAAGAGAGGGTAAGTGTAGGAGATATGGTCCTTCTCTACGATGCCGCGCTTGAAAGGACTTGGACCGGAAAACTAGCGAACAGATGGATGGGACCTTACAGAGTGGTTGAGGCACTCGACTGGGGTGCATATATGATAGCAGAGTTAGACGGGTCTAAGTGGAAGGACCCAGTGGCGGGTGCCAGGTTAAAGTTGTTTAGGCGCAGGCCCGGGACCGCCTTGTCGCTAGCCGACCCGAAGGGGAAAGGAAAGGCCAAGATGGAGGACGGAACTCCCCTGAGGCGATATGAGGCAGGAGAGAGTTCCAAGAAGAGGAAAAGGGTGAAGAAAAGGAAGGTCAAAGGGTTAGCTCTAGGAAGAAAGAAGAAATGGCTATTCGAGCTTAAGAGGGTCAAACGAAGAGTCCGCATTAGACAAACTGGCGGGACGGCACCCTTCTCGGGCCAACGACAGAACAAAGGGAGGATCCTGCCAAGCCTGAGGACTCGGCGGGAAAGGAAAATCAGAAAGCATCCGCTTAGCCCCAGAACCAGGAACAGACTGAAACATAAGACCATTAAACGCCAACTAGGGCGCCCTTTACGAGCCATTATCCTGAAGCTCGTCCGTTTCGTTTGACGTGAGAGAACAGGCCTCGACGGGGGCGTCGAGAAGTGGTCCGGGCTAACTGTCAGGCGGCCACAAGTAGTGCGCCGCCTGAAAACGGCAGTTTAGGGGTTTAGGCTCAGGGTTAAGTCCGCGTTTTGACAGTGCTTTGGGATGACCAAGCAGCAGGAATTATGAGAACTCAGGGTACCCCTGATTCTGGACGCAGTAGATTTTAAGAATAACCCTCAAAGACAGCAAGATGAATGGGTGCACTGAGCACAACTAGAGACCGTCATTTCCGGTCGCTCAGAGGACTGGGACCGTTTTGGCTGGCCGCGGAGAGGGATCGCGGAAACAGACCTCGCCGTGGCATTTTGRCGGCATACAACCGGGGCCGAAATGAGGCCTCGGAATTTTGTCTATTCTGATATCATAATTAAAAATAAAAGAAAAAGATTAAGACCAGAAGAGGAGCGGAGAAAAACGCAATATTCTTTATTTTCTTTATTTTTTACTACATTTAATTTTAGGGGGAATTCCCTTGTTATTTTAGGTTTTCAGCAATGAAATTAAAAACATAGAAAAATGTTGAAAATGGTAAAAGGAAAAAGAAAC